TTGATGTACTTACTTACTGATGATACAGATCAAAGACTATAGCCTGCAGTATGAATTACACCTCAGCATAAAGAAAACAAAAATCCTCAAAACTAGACCAATAGGCAACATTATGATAAACAGAGAAAAGACTGCAGTTGTCAAGATTTCATTTTATTTGGATCCACAATTAACACCAATGGAAGCAGCAGTCAATAAATCTACTGTGTATTTCACTGGGCAAATGTGCTGCAAAAGACCTCTTCGAAGTGTTTAAGAGCAAATAAGTCACTTTGAATACTAAGGTGGACCTAACCCAAGCCATGGTCTTTTCAATATCCTCATATAAATGTAAAAGCTAGACAACAAATAAGGAAGACTGTGGAAGAACTGATGCATGTGAATTAAGGTACTGGTGAAGAATATTGAATATGCCACTGAATATGCGAGAAGAACAAACAAATCTGTCTTAGAAAAGATACAGCCGGAATCCTCCTTAGAAACAAGAATGGCCAGACTTCATCTCTCACACTTTGGTCACGTTATCAGGAGGGACCAGTTCCTGAAGAATGATATCTTGTTTGGTAAAACAGAGGGTCAGCAAAAAAGGGGAGGACCCTTGTGGCAGTTAAAGTTGTGTGTCAACTTGGCTGGGCTGCGGTTTTAAATGGTTGGGCAACTGGATGCAGATATTCCTCATGATGGGATTGGTAATCACCCCCAAGTTGGAATCTACTGTGAGCAACTAAGTACCGGCCTTCAGAGTGTAGCCTACTTCCAGTACATAAGGAGACGCTTTGAGGAAGGTCTCAAGCTTCTTAGCACATCTGGATCCTGCATCTGGCTGAGTCATTAGTGGTCTGCCATGTTGCTTGCAGATTTTGGGACTGTTTCTGGATTTGAACTATTGGCCTGACACGTTGCTTGCTAATCTTGGGACTGTGCCATCTTACTTGTCGATCCTGGGTTTGTCAGCCTCAGCAGCCAGTAGCTGCATGAGTCAGAAAAAGCCTCCAGCTCTAAGGGGCCTAGAATAGGAGGGAGAGCTGAAGCCCAAGTTCAAGAGGCCTCTACCCAGCCCCTAGAGCTGGCACTTTTGAACTTAGACTTCTAGCCTCCTAAACTGTTCGCTAAAGCCATCCATTCATGGTATTTGTTACAGCAGCACTAGATGACCAAAATAACCCTCAATGAGATAGAATGACACAGTGGCTACAACAGTGGACTCAAGCATAGCAACAATTGTTAGGGTGGCACAGGACTGGGCAGTGTTTTGTTCTGTGGTACCTAACATCACTATGAGTCAAAAACAACTAGACAGTACCTAACAATAACAACAACAACAAGAGCTGTGGAGAGTGGGGACTGGAAAGGTGATAGTTAAGGGGTATGGGATTTCTTTTATGGGCTAATGAAAATGTTCTAAAATTGACTATGGTGATGGATGAACAACTCTATCAAAGCCAATAAAATGTACACTTTAAATGGGCAAATTGTATGGTATATGATTTGTAGCTCAATGAAGCTGTTAAAAAAAACTGGTATAAAAATCTGTTGGTGGTGTTATAAATTCATATAACTCATTTGGGAAAAAATATGGCAAAAAGTACAGCATCAAAAAGATTCAGATCCTTTGACCTATTACTTCTACTCTTTAAGAAGTTATCCTAAAGAAGAAAGTAATACAAAGTAACAGCTATATGTGCCAAAATAAATCTGTCATCACAGCAAAAAACTGGGAAAAAGTGCTGAACCTTAAAAGAACTATAATGCAAATACTGACTTCTCAACAAGACAAAATACTAAATAAATGTTTGTTCATTCAGTTGACAATTAACAAATGTCTTACATGTCAAGTACTCATGGTAGGATGGTAAAGATACAACAAGAACAAGGCATCCTCACCTTAACAGGAAGTGTCAGATAATTAAACAAGGGAGCTCTGGTAGCACTTAACAAGGGAATCAGAGATTTTCCACAACAACTAACAGACTAAGGCTCAAAGGAAAAGAAGGATCAAACTAGGGCAAAGAAAGAATAGGACAAGGAAACAGAATAGTATATTTCCTGGATATTCAAACATGGCAGAGAAAATGAGCAGTCCCAGAACTGAAAGAAGCTCAATATGGCTACAATACAGTATGTAAAGAAGAGAATTCAACAGGTGAATCCCAATAGATAGAAAGAGCCAGTTCATATGGGACTTCGTAAGCCAAAGTGAAGAGTTTGGACGTTACCCAAAGTATGGTGACAAGTATTAAAGGAGAGTGGAGGGAAGAAAAAAAAAATCAGATTTGTATTTTAGAAATTTTTATTAGAAAATTATATTAGAAATATTCTGTTTTCGTGCTGGTAGCATGAACATCAGATAGAAGAGGAGTGAAACAGCAAGTTAGGAAATCAGAAGGGTACTGCACAAAGATGACAGTGGCCTGGAGATGAAAAAAGGTAAAGCTTCAAGGCATGTTTTGGTAATAGAATTGCTAGACCTTGGTGACCAAGTAGATGTACAGGGTAAAGGCAAGCAGAGTCAAAGAAGTCTGCTGGGTCCCTGTAACTAGATGAATGGTGCCATTCACTGAAATCATAAAAAGGGACAAGCAAGAGATCTGGAAAGGGAGAGAAGGGAAGGAGCCTGCCAGTCTCAAGTACCAGTAGACACTTAAGTCGTTTCTGCCATAGACAGTTCAACACAGAGTTTGAGAGAGAGAGATCTGGGCTGGAGACACCAAAAGTACTAGGTAGTAACACAGAGAATGTAATTGAAGCCACAGAAAATGATGAGACTGCTGAGATCTTAGAGTAAAACAAAAACATGAAGCACTGACATTTAAGGGATGAAAAATAAGAAGCAAAAAGTACAAAACAACAAAGGAGGAGGAAAATCTACAACACAAGATCAAATGAAGCAGTCACTACAGCAGTGTCAAATGATGCTTCCCACGACCCACAGCCATCGAGTCAATTGCAACTCATAGCAACCATTGAGGACAGAGTAGCTGTCCATAGGGTATTGAAGGCTATAATTCTTTACAGAAGCAGACTGCATCATTTTTCTCCCACAAAGTGGCTGGTGGGTTCGAACCACTGACATTTTGATTAGCAGCCCAAAGCTTTAACCACAGTGCCACCAGAGTTCCTTAAATGGTATCTAGAGGGTTAGTAGTAGACAATTTTAATAACTATATGTAATGGGTAAAATGGTTGATAAAGTGGTTCAATAAAGAAAATACATAATTACAACTTAGAAAAAATACAAGATACAAAATATGGACAGAAATAAAATATACAAATGTGTTAACTTTTAATTTAAAATCATCTGTGGTTAATACTCTTCAATTAAAAAGTATTACGAGTACTGTTTTTCTTCCTCTTTTCTTCCTGAACAACTAGTCCAAAACCTATCAGGCAGCACCAAGAAAGCTTATACTATACTTTCAGATTGATGTATATTAAATAAAAGTAAATGAACAAGGGATGTTCTAGGATAAAGAGAACAATGAACTCACAGACTCACAAGGAAACCAAAAACCCAAAGGCTATCATACAGTGTGTTAAGTGCTACACGTTAGATTCAGAGTGCTACGGAAACACATGGGTGGGGTGTCTAAACCACAAAGGAGGAAGGGAGATCAGAACAGTAACACGTAAGCTAAATTTTGAAGACTGGTTGAAGTTAGCTAAATGAAATTTTTGTTTTTGTTTTCGTTTTTAAAGGGGGATGGGAGAAGTCAGGGTGTACAGTTCTGACCACACAGAGAGAAGTACAACCAAAGAACAACTAATATTCCATAGGGCTCAAGTAAAAACTGCACATGAGTAACAAAAAACAAGATTAATGAGACAGGTAGAGGTCAGGATACAAAGGACCTTGTACAGTATGAAGCTATGAAGTTTGAACCTTACTCTCATAGCAAACCATTATATTAGATAATATGATCATAGTCACATAAGAAGTAATAACCAAAAGTCCATCTTCTATTTTATAATACCAGCAGTGATATCTAGAAGTGGTAGAGGGGGTAAGAAAACACTGCAATAAACCATGACATTCCCATCTCCAAGTCCCTCATCATGGGAGATGTAGATAAAGCAGGTAATCTCCGTACAAGAGGGAATCATTACCTTGGGAAATGATTCACTATAGCAAGAGAGTGGAAAGTGCACAGAGATTAAGGACTTAACACAGAGAAATAGTCCCAAAATCAGCAGGCAACAAGGCAGACCACTAATGACTCAGCCAGATGCAGGATCCAGATGTGCCAAGAAGCTTGAGACCTTCCTCAAAGCGTCTCCTACGACTTAACATTGTCTCTTAAAGAACAGGGTTCCCAAATAACACATAAAGGATCACGAAGGATATCAACAGTGGTAGGATGAGCCAGGAGTAAAGTAGGAGACAGTAGTAATATGAAGGACAGGCTTAATCTTACTTTCTCAAACTGAGTAATACAGCAACTCTTAGAAAATTCTATAATAGAGAAGTTAGAAAGATTTTTTATAATGCTATTCCCCTATGGGCTCTGTGCTCCCAAATTCAACTTGGGAAAAAGCATTATCTTGCAAGATGTAAGGCAACAACTTAAACACAATTCTTCTCCCTCAACATAGTGAGAGGGGGAAAAAAAAAAAAAGCAATTAAGTGCTTTGACTGTTCCCTACTAGCTCAACTAAATTGGAGAAAATTCTGGTTACCTAAGGGGCCCCTCAGGCTGATCTCATATTGTCCCTTTTTTTCTCTCTCTCTCCTTTTTTTAAAATATATGTATTTTCTAGTACATAATTGAATGCAGATTGCCAAATAAGAAAATCAGATAGAACCTGAAATATCTAAACCAGGAATACTATGGAATTTATACTACTATAATATGACATTAAAAATACTTTTAGGCACAATAGATGAAACTATCATATTAATTCATCTTTAAGGTTAATGATAGCTTTTCTTAATTTGGTTACCATGTGAATGTATTTTATTAAAATGCATAAACATCTGGCAAAAAAAAAAAAAACCAACATACCTGCTGGAGAGACATGAGGACAGCTGCTCATTTTTAGCAGCTTAAGGGTATCACTGTTGTTGGCTACCAGTACTTTGAGGGATGGATCATCTACTGGAGTATCATCTATCTTAAGTGAGGACAGGGATTTTGAGTTTACAAACACAACTGTCAGCGCAGAGATAAAGTGAGACTGAAAAGGAAAAAAAAAATTAAAACATTGAAAAATGAGAACTGAAGGCTTTCCATATTAATTCTAGATATAGTTCATCTGCATCCTAATGTACATTTCATAACTTTTTGAGGAATATCATCCCTTCATCTGCTGTTGAGACTATGGTAAAAAGATAGGTGGCTATTTGCCATCTTGAGAAGAGCCTTTTACCGGTGGAGAAAAAAGCTTCAAAATGAGTATCCCTAAATCACCGCAATCATTGGTAAATAAAAAGGGGAATTCTGGAACACAGGATGAGAAGGCCTCTCAGGCACTTCACATCACTGTATCTCACCCAATCTCACTCTACACTTAGCTTTATAAATTCTGTACAGCAGTGAGAAGGGATGAAGGCAGGCAGGCTTATAGTCAAGAAAGACAGGGTAATGAAACTCTATCTTCTTGGCCACATTCCCTGACTTACTTTTTCCATACTGTGATGAAATAACTGGGTAAGTACTTAAGTTTTAATTGAATAACTGTTAACTACTTACATTTTAGGATCTTTCTCCTAATATGTTCAAAATCAAACTCAATTATATAATCACATTTCTTCATTAGTTTGCTACATTACTGCTTTCTTTTTCCATTTCCCCCTAAATTAGCTCTGGCCTAATGTGTCTCTTTTATGTTCTCTTCATATTTCTCAGAATTTCCAAGATCTATCAATACCCTATTTCAGTCTTCTAGAAAAGATATAAAAGGGGGTAAGGTGGGGGAATAAGCATCCTAGGCTCATTTAATAAGGAAGGAAGCAGCCCTACCAGCACCAATAGTTCCCAAATACAAAACTATTACAAATTACTATAGTACTAGTATTAGACATGTACAGTTATAACCCTGATAAGAAAAAAGGAAATTACGTTCAATATACCTTTTACTACAGCATATTTTATGTATACTATATATATATATATAGTGTGTGTGTGTGTATAAGTGTGTGTATGTATATTTGTTTCTAAACTATGATACCAAAAAAACAAACCCACTGCCATCAAGTCAGCGATTCCCATTGGGTTTCCAAGACTATAAATTTTACAGAAGTAGATTGCCTCATCTTCCTCCCACAGAGCAGCTGGTGGGTTTGAACCATGACTTTCTGGTTAACAGCCAAATGCCTTATCCACCCAGAGCTCCTTTGTAAACTATGATAGGTGTATATCAATCAATTCAGAACATTTCATTTCTTTGTAAACAAGGTGCCAAGTATACTATGAAACTCACTGTTTCTCAAAGTGAAATCCCTGTATTATCTTAATCAGAACCACATGGTAGATGAAGGAAAGATTATCCGGGCCTCACGCCTAATTTAGAATAGGGATCTCCCGCCTTAAAAAAAAACAACAAAAAAACACCACTGCCACTGAGTGGATTCCAACTCATAACAACCCTACAGGACAAAGCAGAACTACCCCATAGGGTTTTAAAGGCTATAAATCTTTATGGAAGTAGACTACATCATCCTTCTCCTGCAGAGTAGCTGATGAGTTCGAAATCCCAACCTTTTGGTTAACAGCTAAATGTTTTAACTGCTACACCACCACAGCTCCCTAGAATAGAGATAGGAATCCAAAATTCAGAAACTTCCTAAGATGATTTTTATGTATAGTAAGTTTGAGAACCACCGTCCAACTCACGTACTTTGAATCTTAAAATATAGAAATGAATAGACACTCTCTTGTGCATTTCCCTCATGTTCTTACATGAAGAAAATATGTGACCTCAAAATATACTGCAGTGCTGCTACCATCTGGGTTAAAACGTCAATCCTACTCAATTTAGCAGTATTTCCTCCTGAATCAACCTAGTAAATAAGCTGTTAGGTATTTAAAAGGGTATTAATGCTTTAGTTTGTGATTTACTCTGAAAAAAGCTTTCCAATTATTGTTGAATTCTAACCTACTAAACATTAGCTAGGAGCTCTGGTAGCATGGTTCTAAGGCACTTGACTGCTAACCAGAAGGCTGGCAGTTCAAACCCACCAGCCACTCCTCGGAAGGAAGGTTGGGCAATCCTACTTCGGTAGTGATACTGCCTCGGAAACCCAAGGAGGGGTCACTATGAGTTGGGGCCAACTCAACGGCAAACAACAACAACAAGCATTAGCTAATATTCTCATGGACCTTTAACTATCTAAAAATGAGCTCTTATTTTACTACTTTAATAGAACAGTTATTTTGGAGAGAAATTCTAATTATGTTCAGAATCATGTTAGACCATGCAAATATATGGATATGTTTATGAATCGTATGAATATAAATTATCTTGTTACAAAAAACCTTTTCCTTAAATCAAATTTTTAAGTTAATCCAAACTGTACCTTTGCTCAAGAACAAATATTTACAGTTCATCAGATGTTTTTATAAGTAAGCTTTACCTGCTCTCAATAATGGTAATTTCTACTTTTCTTTGATTCTAATTTCACCAATCAGCTCTGAATATCCAAAAAGGAGCATATATATATACACGTCTCTTTTTTAAATACACTTGTTCCTCAGTTTCCTTAGTTTCTTTTAGTATGTCTTACAGAATCCTCTGTAAATTCATGCACCCTTTAACCTTACCAATGAAGCAGCTAAGAGTCCCATCACATATAATATACACATATAAATGAAGAAGCACAAGGTGATTTTTACAAAAGCTCTGTAAAAGTCTTATTTCTTAACAGTAGATGTCCCAGGTGGTGAGAAGAGGTAAGCACTTGACCACCTGCCAAAGGCTGGCAGTTCGAACCCACCCAGAGGTAACTCAAGAGACATATGACAAACTGCTTCTAAAAAGTCACAGCCTTAAACACCCTATGGAGCTGTAGTACTCTGTATACGTGGAATTGCCTTAAGGTGGAATCAACTTGACAGCAACTAACAACATTTCTTAACATTCCTAATAATAACTGGCTTTCTAGTATACACAGTACTTTTCTTATACTCCCAATGTCACTGCTAGGCACTTGGATTTACTCAGAACAGCTAATGAAATAAAATGAGCAGATACCTTTGGTAAATCCATAAAGCTTGGCCGAGCAGTTGAAATTAGTCCAAGTGTTTTTAAAGAGCAATTTACAAGTTGTGATAATATATCACAAGCTGCTTCAGCTGATTCTTTGCTGCTATCCACCTTGGAAAAGAAAACATCATTTACTACAAGCATTTATTTACATTTCTATGTACACCTTAGTTTTACAAAAGTAAAAAGTAGTTATATTAGAGTTTATTTCATTACAATTTAAAGAATTAGTATTTATTCTTGCAGGCATCCACCCTTACATACATCTTCAACCTTGGGGTAAATGCTCCTGTGAAATTACAAAAGCAATTGTCAGGTTTTTGTTATCTAAACCAAAACAAACTCACTGCCATCAAGTCAATTCTGACTCTAAACCACCCTTCCTTGGGTTTCTAAGGCAGTATCTCTACGGAAGTAGATTGCCCAGTCTTATATTTAAAGTTGAAACAACTTGGCTTTTGAGTTGATTTTTCTGAATAAATTGTATATGCTAATGGGATAAATGAATTTATAATCCTCAAAAAATAATTATATATTTGATAATGGACCCAATAATATATGTAAATACCATGTCTATAATATACATGATTCCAAGGCACTAGAAAATGTTCAGATGACTCACAGTCTGGGATTATTAATGTTATTACTGGAAAGATAAGGGTTAAATATGACAATGAAATATGGGTGATGATCTGAACTAAACAGGAGAATATAGCTGCTCCCACACATTAATTTTCATAGAGATTTCCAGGGGGAAGCTAAAAATAACTAAAAAACCCCAGGTTACTCAACAATATAAGCAGCAGCTCTTCCCTCAAAAAGGAAGTTGTTCCCTGGGCTAAAAAACATCTCGAAACAGAATAGTTAAAAAACATTACACTAATTCAACAGTTTCTACATGTACAATTTAGTGACATTGATTACATTCAAATTGTGCAACCATTCTCACCTTCTTTTTCTGAGTTTTTCCTCCCTCATTAATATAAACGAAAATTTCTATCTAATCTTTCAAGATGCTGTTGTCACTTTGATCCCATATAGATAGTTCTTAAAAGACCATAATGCTCAAGGCAGACCTTTTTCACTAGTTAAACTAAATGACTGTTCAGTTTTAAGATGACTTCTGGGGATATTTTTGGTCTAAGGTTTAAAGATTATCTCATGGTAACAGTTCTAGGGAAAATATTTTGTATTTTAAAAGAAGGATTTGAAGTATTACCTTGAAGCTGACATATTGCAGATGGTTTGAATGTCTTTTAATAATCTGTTTGATGAGCTCTGGATGTGTAGCTTTCAAATAGGATGTAGCAGGCTGATTCAGTTCAAACTCAAAACATCTCCACAAGTCAGGCATGTGAAATACTTGGTTCCAATTGCGGCAAACTTGTGAAGCATGAGCCCGATCAAGAAGAGGCAAGTATTTAAATACTTGAAGAATAATGTCCTGAAGGAGATTACCCCAATCACAAGTCTGAGAATGCTCATCTGTAGTCCTCAGTTTCTTGGATTTCTCTGCAGTACTTTCTTCTGATGAATTTTGGTCACTATCTCTTTCTCCTCGTTTCATCCTAGTCAGAAAAAGGCATCATTTTTTTTATTTTTAATTCTACTTAACTTCTGAATAGAAAGAAATGTAAAATTCATTCGTTTGTCTACATATGTGTGTGTGTGTGTACGTGTGTACATTAAAAAAAAAATCCACAGCCATCATGTCAATCCCATTCACAGCAACCCCCACTGGGTTTCCAAGTCATTAAATCTTTGCAGAAGTAGATTGGCTCATCTTCCTCCCAAGGAGCAGCTGGAGTGTTTGTATCGCTGATCTTCGGGTTATAAGCCAAATGCCTTATCCACTATACCACCAGAGCACTCTCTCTCTATATATATAAATATATAAAATACACACACACACACACACACATATATAAAATACATACACACATATACAAACATAAGCATGCAGGAGAAACTGGACAGTAATCCAAGAATATAAAAAAATATAATAAAAAATGCTAATGGAGATCAAGTATGCTTTCATACATTCCATACACTTGTGGCGGATATTTCTAAACATTTAAATGTATATTATATTAAGGGAAAAGTTGTGATTTTCAAACTAAACCAATAATTTATATTTCAAAAGTTGTAGTCAACTAACTAAAAGAAATGTAAAAGGGAACTTACAGTGATACCTTCTAAAGGTTCCTTAAAAGTTATCTTAGGATACCTGCTACCTTTGAATTCCTGAATTCAAGGCGGACCAGGACCCAGCAACTTTGAGAAAAGATGTGAATTAAGTAGCCAGAGATTCTTCCATACTGAATAGGCTGTGATATGTTACTGTCAGATATTTCCAACCTCTGCTTAAAATAAGTAAGCCCATCCCAACGATGCAGTGTTTGGTCTGGAACATGGTTTCCTCTTCTAACTCATTACCTCCTATTACAACATTTTCTCCAAGTTGTTCTTTTGAATGACACTTACATGTTTGTTCTATATATTCTTACCACCATCATTCCATCTGTTTCTTTGAAAGATAGTTATAGGGATGTGTGTGTGTGTGTGTGTCTCTGTGTGTGTGTTTAGTGATAAAATTGTATTATGGTTAAAGAGAATGGACTCTGGAACCAAACTTCCTGGGTTTGAATCCTGGCTCCACCTGTGACTGTGTAGTCTTGAGCAAATTCCTTGACCTAGCTTGTGCTCCAGTTTATAAAATGGAGATAATATCAGTAGGGTTATTTTGAGCAATTAAATAGTATTAGGGTTTTTGAAAGGAGGTAATTGTTCAACTCAGGTTAAGAAAGCAGTCCAGTACTAGATATTAATATGCATGAGACTGTAAAAATGAAGGTTAACAAAGAGAAAGCAAAGAATGTTCCTATATCTGTTTTAAAACAAAGTGTGGAGGTGTGTATGTGAAAAAGAGTGAAGAGGAAGGAGAGAGAAGAGGGAAGAGGAAAAAGAGGTAGTGTATGAGAAGCACAAACTCAAAGTAGATTCACCAAATTATAATAGTAACAGTAGATAGAAGAATTACAGATGATTTTTCTGTCAATAAAAATGATTTTTTTTCCTTTATATATTTTACACTTTTCTTTTAATACCAATGCAGGAGCTCTGGTGGCGTAGTGCCTAAAGCATCTGACTACTAACCAGGTTAGCAGTTCAAACCCACCAGCCACTCCATGGAAGGAAGACTGGGTAATCTACTTCCTTAAAGATTTAATGCCTCAGAAACCCAAAGCAGGTCACTAAGCATCGGAATAGACTTGATGGCAGTGAGTTTGGTTTTTCTGGTTTAGTGTGTCACATAAAAAAGATTTTTGATTTGTTCACTGGGAAGTATCATAAGCTCTGAACTAAAACTCATTGCCATCTCCAACTTATTTATGACCCTATACACAGTAAATGTAAATGCAGACCACTCAATCAGTACCCCATTTAGTTTAGAGATTGAAATACTTTTGTCTCCAGAGAGTAGATCTGGCAAAGTAATGATGTAGACCTAGAATTGGAGTCATAGCCTTTCAAAAGGATTATATGTAGGTCCTACTCCTTTTTCTGACACAACAAGGTATGAGAATTTCTCTGATTTCTGTGTGAGAAGGAGGATGTGCATATACATGACTATAAACAATATGTCTGTGCAAACTTTCTTCATCAAGTAGCTAGTGAAAGTAGACTGGGGGCTAGACTAGAGGCAGAATAACAAAGGCACCCAGCTTTCATGCCATGAAAATCAGCCCACGAGGTTTTAGCACCATGCAATAACTATCTATTCCTTGTTCCTCCTACTGCAAACCATATGAGTAAAATGAAGTAAATGATTTATATCCTACTGAGCAGCAGTGATTTTTTAGGGAGAAGAGAGAAAATAATAGAAGTGATCACAGCAAGAGAGTAGTTTTGGGGAGAATGAAACATGTCAATCTAAGAACACATTTTTGAAAGTGTGTTTAGAAAAAAAAAATACGATAATCTACAATGTAATCTTTAAATTAACAAAAAAATCTCTGCTAGTAATAATGTGTCACTAGAAGTTGTCTGTCATTTAGATCCATTTTTCTGCTTTAACTTATTAAAGAGGTCACTTTAATTTTAGCATATAAAATTTGGGTCAAAGAACAAAGAGTTTGCTCTGCAGGGCTTATAATTTCTCCTCTGACTACCTAAAATTACTCAGAATGTTGAGATACAGAAATTCAAAATAGAATAAAGCAGTCTTTATAATTTCTAAGTATAGAATGCTGCAGCTCTGTCTGGAGGAAAAAATCTGGAAAAAAAAGTACGTAACACTAAGATATAGTATTTCTCTTAGCCTAATATAATAAGATTATATGATCACCAAAATATATTTTATGCACTTATTAGCTTATGAATTGCTCAGTAATTATCTCAGTTATGCAATATGGCTCAAAAAAACAAAACAAAACAAAACTCACTGCCATGGAGTCAGATCCGACTCACAGTGACCCCTCCTCGGATTTCCAAGGCAGTATCTCTACAGAAGTAGACTGTCCAATCTTCCTTCCGAGAAGTGGCAATGTCATAATTTGTTAGTACATTAATATTTTTACCCACTGAAAAAAGTCCACCTACAAATATAAGGTAAAATGCAGACAAAAATGTTCTCTTTTTTATACTCACATGCATAAAAGTAAGAATAGATTCCTAATTTTTATATATCATTTCTTTCAAGTTGATCTCATCTATTCATGCAAAAATGTATATTACTTTCAAAAGCATTTTATTAAATCTATTTATACATGAAGCTCTGCTGTATATGAACAATTCAGAGTATCCACCCATCTGCAAATAATTTACGTCAATGGTCTTATTTATCTCCTACATCCAGTCAAAAGGAAAACACCTTTTATGTTTGAACAGGAGTGGAGAAGGAACTGGACAATAACTGTCAATGAGACTTTCTAGAGCAACAAAACCAGGCCTCTGCAGAGCACTGGCAATTTAATTTCAAAGTACGACTTTTCCAGGCCCCAGATAACTAATGCAACTCAGGTCACTAGAGCTTTAGGCACAGTGCCTAAGGCATCTAACTGCTAATCAGAAGGCTGGAGGTTCAAACCCACCAGCCACTCCTGGAAAGGCAGGTTGGGCAATCCACTTCCATAGTGATATAGCCTCAGAAACCCAAGGAGGGGTCGATATGAGTCGGATCCAACTCCATGGCAACGCATTTGCATTATGAAGTGCCAAAAGGCAAGCTAATGAGGAAAAATTACAGACTAGTTGAGCAGCACAGGGAGTTACTCAGCTAACTCAACATTTCCATATAACTTGAAAGGAGCAATCGAGTTCATCAAAGAGATGAAGAGAACACTTAGCTGTACCCCCAGAATGCTTCAGGCACTTTTACAAATATTTTGTTGTTGTTGTTGTTAGGTGCTATCAAGTCGATTTATGATTCATAGTGACCGTATGTGACAGAGTAGAGCTGCCCCATAGAGTTTTCTCATAATATTTAAGGAAGCAGAATGCCTGCTCCTTTTCCCACAACTGGTACAGGGCCCAAACTGAGAAGCCAAGCAGTTTAACCACTGTGCCACTCACTTCAGCTCTCTGTACATACACTGGGCATGTAATAATTTGTCTACTAACCAGAAGACTGGCAATTCAAACCCACCAGCCACTCCTCGGAAGGAAGACTGGACAATCTACTTCCACAGAAATACTGCCTCAGAAACCCAAGGAGGGGTCGCTATGAGCTGGAAACGACTGGACGGCAGTGAATTTGGTCTTTTGATTTGTATGTATTTAGCTCTGGGAAAGCTAACCAAATGCCTGTTTTTGGCATCACATTTCCTTTCCATCTATGTTGTGCTCTAATATAAAAATGCCTTCTTGAAAACCAAAGATTCATGGAAACGATTAGTCCTAGCAACTGGTACACCATACGATCCTCAGCCTATACAACCATGAGACCAGAAGAAGTAGATGGTGCCTGGCTACTACTGTCAACTCTTTGTAGGGGGATCTATGTAGGAGATCCTGGATAGAGAGGGAAAACAATGTGGAACAAAACTAAAAATCATTTGGTGGGGAGAAAAAAAAGGGACCAGGTTTGCTGGCCCAATAGAGCCTGGTGGAACCACTTAGACTATGGTGCCTACCTGCCCCTCAGGTCTGAAACTGAACCCACACCTTGGCTTCCAGCCATACAAAAGACAGGCATATGAGTTGAACATTTATCTGACGTAGATATACTCCTTGGAGAGAACAATCATGGGAGAAAGAAGGGCTGCTTATGCACAGGGAGACACAGCTCAGGGGGCAGGAGTGCACGGAGGGATGGACACAGGGAAGAGGTTAACTATGGGAAGGAAGTGGGAGGGGAGCTGGTACACTGTGGTAAATTGTAGTGAATGTCATGAGACAAAGTGTATATGAACTGCTGTATGGAAAGTGAATTTGCTCTGTAAATTTTCACCCAAATCACAATTAAAAAAAAGAAAAAAGAACAGTAAAAAAAAAAAAAAAAGCCTTGAGCAAGAATAAACCAAAACAACACCAAACTCTCTGCCACCAAATCCATTTGTCTCACAGTAACCCCTCCTTCGGTTCCGAGGCAGTATCACTACGGAAGTAGATTGCCCACCCTTCCTTCCCAGGAGTGGTTGGTGGGTTTCAACCGCCAGCCTTCTGGTTAGCAGTCAGGTGCCTTAGGCACTAAACAACTGAATTCTCAGGACTGGACAGGGGGGAGACCGTGTGACAAACTGTCTCTTTGTCCTAAGTATATAATCAAGAGTAGGTGGGTTTTTTGTATTTCACGGAAACAAGCCTAAAAAAAAAAGATTCTAATTATTGGACAACGCTTTCTGGATTGGAGATGCAGAGACCAATCATTTAATGGGCTACTTCTTAATCACTGTTAACTCCACGCTAAAACGGCTGTCCACTGCCAAAAGCAGGGGCGAAGCTGCTCTTCACTAATTGACCAGATTTTCCACCTGGCTACGCTGCGGGGGCATCCCTGCCTCCCCTCCGCTCTGCGCCACTTCCAAGGACTGGCTCTCCCTGACACAGCTCCTGAGCGCTTTCCTCGGCAGTTGTTTCGACATGTAATACCTCTAATTTCTCAAACTACAAGAACTAGCATAACCGTAGTCGCGAAGAACCTCGCACAGAACGAGCTCCACTGTGCCTATCATCAAACGCTGGGAAGAATAATAAAGCCTTAGGGAGCTCCGGGAGCAGCAGCGTCGCGGGACCGGCTGCAAGCGGCCGCGGCTTACGCACCACGCCTTGTTGACATGTTTTGAAGACAGCACTGCAGGGAAACGCCCCCAAGCAGGCTCCAAGGTCTGGGCGCCACGCCCCGCGCGGCCTTCCCGGGGCGGTCCGCCCGCGCCGGGGACCCTGGGTTTCGCAACCCAAACATCCCTCCAGGAACGACTGGGGGGCCCTCCCTTGAGCTCGCCGTTGCAGCAGAGCTCCGATCCTGCCCCTCTGCCTTTACCTGCAGCCAGGGACGGCTTCTCCTACACACCACCCCGGGCTCCGGGGACGGTGGCTTGTTCTGCGGTTCTCACATAAAGCCCCCAAGGCCCTCGGCTTCGCGCTCCCGCCGCCGCGGCCCCCCGCACTCCGCCCGCATCCGAGGCGCTGGTCCCGCGGCGAACGCCAACAGGGCTCCACCTTTGCGGCTCTGGCTGCACAGGGAAAAGTCTTCCTTCTCAGTTCCACGCAGTCTGCTTTCGATCTCCTAAGTCCCCCTGTCGCCGGGAGAAGTTCCCTCTGCCAGCTGCGGCCACCGCGTAGCTTCTCCGCGCCTCTGTCCAGACACCGAGTCCAAAATGGCGCCCGTAGTTCGCGGCCGCGCGCTTTCCCGGGCGCGTCTGCCCCCGAGAGGGCGGGCGCGTGTCCGTCGCTGGCGAGGTCGCGGAAGGCGGGGAAGGGCAGGAACAGGGACGCTCCCACGATGAAGCTCTCACAGCTGGGAGACCTTGGCAGCTGGGCCAACTTTGCTACCCTGCTCAACTGTGGTCACAGACTCCTGGTCCAAGAAAGAGATTCCGTAGCCTCGCTCCCGGAAGTGACTCCACCTTTAAGGGAATTTTTTGTTGGGAACTGAGAAAGAGCTGGAGATACAGTTGGATGCCAAAGAAACTGAAACTGGAAAGTTTAGGAAGTGGAGCAGAAAAGAAAGGAGGGAGTGTCTCTGGAGTCTCTTGTAATTTGTCAGCCGGTTCTACTAGGCAGAAAAGTAAACAGTACCAGCTGACAGTTGACACACCTCCACAAGGTGAGGTGCTGGCACGCAGAAAGGCCAAGCCTTGCAACACATAACCTTAAGGGTTAAAAATACAAGTTCTAAAAATACACAAATATATACTTAATTCTTTAAAATACTGGTTGTTGTTGTTGTTAAGTGCCCTCGAGTCGTTTCTGACTCATAGCGACCCCATGTACAGCAGAACGAAACACTGCCCGATCCTGCGCCAGCCCCACAATCCCTGCTATACTTGAGCCCATCATCGCAGCCACCGTGTCAA